AAAATTTGTCATTAAGCTATCACCAAGGACAAAAGGTTCTATTAGATATTAGATAGACCAAAGATATTATATTAACTAAAGATATTAGATACACCAAAATTATTAGATAGACCGAAGGTTTATATTTATATTTAGGTTATATTTATATTATATTTAGGTTCTAGAAAGCTATTTTATTTCTATAACAGGTTTACAGAATTAACCGAATTTTATAGAATTTTAGTATATAGAAATTCAATATATTGAATTTCCATAGACTTTATTCTGTCTGTAAAAGCACATTTATTATGAACGTAGGCATTAAACATCAAAGTAATAAATTTAAATACAAAATTATGGCGTTACGTATACAACAATTCCTATGGGTCTAGTAGAGAAACTTCTCACATTCTCAACTTCTTTTATAAGCATGATCAGCTTAAAGCATAATTAATGTCTTTAATGACAACCACATTTCTAAATAAATTGCAGCCGTGACGCAGTGGTTTGAGTTCTGGCTCAGAACCCAGAGGTTCCAGAACCCAGTACTCAGAGGTATAAAGAGGTTCGACGCCAGTTTTAGCCTAATAAGCGACATTAATAAGGAAGGAGGCGTGAACCTTCTTGTTAAATACTCTTCCGCGGTTCTCTCGTACTGTTCTCGTACTTTCCGCGGTACTCGGTCTGTGAAAAGACTGTAAGGGCTTCGGGGAGCACCTTAAGAACTACAAAAAAAAAAAAAAAAAATCACTTTATGCTGAGTTTTCTGTTTGTTCATCCATACTAACTTAGAAAGTGCCTAACTATCCAGACTGATTTTGTAAAGAAATAAGACAAAAATATTTTTATGTTGCAAAATTTTGTATATTTCTATTCATATGTTTAGATATATTCAGAGTACTTTTAATTTGTAATTTAGAAACAACTAGTGCATGATCGCAACATATACATCGACCATTTAAAATTCAGCAAATGTAACAAAATAGCTCGGTACCAATGGACTTTTTAAATTTTTTGGTATCATTGGTGGGAAACTTAATTATAAAAAATAATTATTAAAGATGTTATAAGAATGTACATAGCGACTTCTATCTTTTTTGATTATTTAGGATTTATAGTGAGTTGTTTAAAATGTTTATATATGCGCTTTTTTTCTTTTTTTTTTCTTCCAATTGAAAACATTACTTACACAATTTTCGCGAGGTGCAGTATCTAGCATGTGCAGAGTTGAAAATGAACCCTGTTTTTTTTAAAAAAGCCAGACTCAAATGGTTTTTTTTTTTTGTTTCTTTGTTTATTTATTTTTTAATTAGTTTAATGTTGTCATATCTTTGACTTATGAATTATTATATTTCTAACCATCCTATAAACCATGGAATTTTTTTACCAAATCACAAAACTTCTTTCTTTTCCTAAATTGGCTAGCTTTAACTTAAGTCAATAAACAACATTATCACATTAATAAAAGCCAAGATCTATAACGAAAAGGATATTAAAACCTTAAAAAACCTTTTATTTGTTTTGTTTATGGACATTAAGTTTTACCTCTCGAATACAATTATTACAAAAAATAATTATATACAAAACTGCTTGGTGCCAATTTTTATTTAAATATAACTTTATTATGTTTTAGAGACTATTGCTTAATAGTCTAAAATAGTGATTTAAATCTATTTACATAAGTTAACGTTTGTAGCGATTTTCGTTATTTGTACCGTTTGATTTTACGTATGAACGCTACAAGAAACATTTGTTTCTTAGTAATGTTCCGTCAAACGTTGCTAGTGCGAACGTTTACGTTTTTTTCTTTCTATGGATTGGTTTTAACACGAAAGAACGTAATGAACATTGTATGCGGTTACCTTCTTAGCACGTATTAATCAGATTAATTTGAAAGAGATTAAAAATTTACAACAAACCACAAACTCTCAATGTCGTCGCAAAACCCTTCTTTAAAAAATAAGTTTATGAACCTTTGTTGCAAATATCAAATGTAACTATATCTATTATAGTACGTGATTGAAAAAATATCTGTTAGAGTGTAACGCAAAGTTTAAAGTTGCCAATATTTTAATTATTGTTTAGCTTTTACAGAGTTCCGCAAAGTTTTCTATTTTATCTAAAACAATTAAGTTATAAAAAATATAAAATTATTTACTTTTTTGATTAATGTTTTTGGTTTATGATTTTACTATATAACATTTTCATAATTTTAACAAAATTTACTTATTAAACTTATAGTTTATTCAAATTAATTCTTAATTTATACAATATTTCACCTGTATTTTTTTAAACCCATAATTTAAAGAATTTATAGGCATTTAGAAGGATTAGAAAATATTTATATTGAGTTATAATTACACCTTTTCAAGATGTAAATGAGAACATGAAAGTTATAATTAAGAAGTCGTAATATGTAATTAAGAAACACAACATGTAATTGAGAAAACGTTATATGTAATTGAGAAACACAACATGTAAATAAGAAGTCGTAACATGTAATTAAGAAACACAACATGTAATTGAGAAAACGTAAGATATAATTGAGAAATCATAATATGTAATTGAGAAATCGTAACTTGTAATTGAGAACACATAAATTAAAATAGCAAATTCACAGTCTAAGTTTGTAGGTTGTTACAAAAGGTCTTTTTGGACATGAATTTAAGTTATAATCTTAAATTTTGCTTTTGTATGCACAAGTAATAATAATGGAATTGAAATATCGTTGTGTTATATGCCAATACACTATGACCCGAAAGTCTGTGATTAAGCTAAATCCGTGTCAACATTTATGTCACCAAATTTGTTTACGTCCAGTTCTGGAACAACCAGATTCAAGTTGTCCGATTTGTCGGTATGAAATACACACAACTGAACAAGTTGAAAGGAAACGTTACGTTTTATCTTCTCCAAATGACAGGAGAAGAGTTGTTGAATGTGCGGAGCGATTTGAAGATTGGGTGAATCTCGCGCAAACGCTAGGTATCAAATATAAGACAGCATACAATTGGGTTCGCAGCGGAAATTCAAATTTCATCGGAAAAGGAGGTTTTAAACCGAAAAAGTTGACCGAAGATCAAATCGAAGAAACATTAACATGGATTGAAAATGACTGTCAATTAACATTGGTGGCCATCAAAACAAAGATATTAAGACAATTTAACATAAACGTTAGCACAACAACAATAGCAAATTACCTCGAAGGCAGATTGTTCTCATTAAAAAAAGTGCACAAGGAGCCTTCTACAATGAACAGTTATGAAAACAAACAAAAAAGAGCTGAATATGTTAGAAACATCAACGAACATATCACAAATGGTTGTCAGATAGTTTGGTTGGATGAAACAAATTTTAACCTTTTTTGTAGAAAAACGCAAGGACGCGCGAGACAAGAAAAAAGAGCAATTATGAAAGTACCTGCTTCAAAAGGTTTAAACATACACTTGATCGCAGCTATTTCAACTACAAATGTCGTCATGATAGAAACTCGCAGGGGATCATTTAAAGCAGATTCCTGTAACGAGTGGATGTTGGCTATGTTTTACCAGTGGGTTACATCCGGGAATCGTTTGGAGGATTTGGTCGTCGTAACAGATAATGCTCCTTGTCACGCTCGTTTGCAAAGGGTGTTTGATAATTCACCAGCTCAGTTGTTACGTTTGGGACCTTACAGTCCAATGTTGAACCCGGTGGAAACGATCTGGTCCAAAATTAAAAGTAACGTTAAAAATGCAATTCGCATTCCACCTGTATTAGGTGACGGGATTGCGGAACAGCGCATGCAGTACTTAGAACGAATTGTAATTGAGGCGAAAAATACTATAATGGGAGGAGATTGTGCACGTGCGGTACAACACACAACCACGCACTATGCAACTATTTTAAATATGGAAGACGTACAAGTTGGTGCTTAAATGATCAATGAAGTGATTTTTAATTATATAGTTTTTAATTATAATTTTTAATTGAATTATAAATTTTTCCCTAAAATGTTTTTAGTGTTTATTATGTTAAATTCATTTGCCCAAAAATTATAAATTTTTCCCTAAAAAATTAAATTTACGCTACAAATCTTGCGTCATTTTTAAGTGCGTCATTTTATACGCTCCATTTTTTTACGCTCCATTTTTTTTAAGCGCCATTTTACACTTACTCCTTTAAAGCGATAGCTAAATTAAAATTTTCGTGTTCTCAATTACATCTTTCTATTTCTTAATTACAACTTACATTTTCTCAATTACATGTTACGATTCTTAATTACAATTTTCGTTTTCTAAATTACATCTTATGTTTCTTAATTAAATCTTACGTTTTCTCAATTACATCTTACGTTTCTTAATTGCAACTTTTGTTTTCTCAATTACATCTTACGATTCTTAATTACAATTTTTGTTTTCTCAATTACATCGTGAAAAGGTGTAGATAACTACTAACAAGTAATTCTTTTTATCAATCTTATACAAATTTCGTTTTTATCATAACTAGTACATACTAATACACAAACATAATTTTGAAATGAGGCAAAAAAACATATAGTGAAACATTTTATCATACCTCCAAAAATTAAAAGATTCATTCTTATATATTGTATTTTTTATTTTAATTGGAAAGGTATAGAGATATATTTTTAGAATTATTTTTCACGTTCACATTATTATGTTGTTGTATTTGATATTTATTTCAATCATGTCTTGGAGTTATATGCAACTATATTTATTTACTACGTATATTTTGAACTTTTTGTTTATGGTTATTTGTAAAATAAAGATGTATAAAAAAAAAAAGAAAAAAAAAAAAAATAGAAATTTAAATATAAAGATGTTTATAATATTTTTTTAATCAAATATAACAAGCTTAAATTTTAAAATTTAAAAATTGTTATTTGTAACACAACTCAGTTTCAGGCTTTGAAAATACATTTAAAAAATGCATGCCGGAATCTATATCGGATTGATGGAAATCAAAAAATATATTTCAAAATTATTTTTGATTACTTGATGAATCAAGACAAATTTATCTAAACTCACAAATACGAAGTTATTTCAAAGTATTGTACACATACAAAGAACCTTTAGAAATGCCAAAATCCATGACAATAAAAGTTGCACCGGTTATAAGAAAGTTTTAAAAAATTTTATAAAATTCTTTTTAAAATGCCAAATATGTGCATATCAAAAATATAAAAAATTAAAAAAACTCAGAAGTAATCCAGTGAGCGCGGGACGTAAAAAAGGCGTCTTTTAAACGTCTTTCGAAGTTTCAAACATCTTTTGAACGTTTTGAAAGTCTTTTTAATTCCCACTGGGAAAATGTTAGTTTTGACTACTTATTAAAATTATACATTATAAATCTATTACCCACCTCCTTACGTTTAACTAAGTTAGTAATATAAAAAAAGTAATTAAAATTAAGCTTAGTAAAGTTATTTAAAAAGCGTGCAATCCAATCTCGTATAGATTCTTTACCACTCTTTTGTTGCTTTATATAGTCACTTTTGCTCTTATACGGGTTTTTGTATCTTTATTTAAAAAAGTCTTTCAACGAGTTTAAGGATCATTTCTAAAGAAAAAAATAGAAATTATTTTTTTGTTATTAAATATACTATTACTTTATTGTTATATATTAGATTTATATTTTTAAGTTATCAAAATGAATTTATAAAGGAAAAACTGATTTACCTCGTAGGTATGTTCAAATTTTGACATATTTTTTACCCTGTTTTTTAACTTTTAAAAAACAGTATACACTACAGCTTAGATAAACCGTGGGTGGTATAATTTAGAAGAAAGTATATCTTGGGTGTATGGTGTATCCAGGTGGTATGATTTGGAAGTTTGTATGGTGTATCTTGGAAGTATTACTATTGTAACTGATTAAGTACTTTGGCATGATAGAAATTTAATACGTTGTTTATTTACAGGATATTTTGACTTAACATAAGACTAATTATTTTGGCGAATAGACAATTTTTAGGGATCACTAGGGTTGATTAGGGTAATATGAGCATACTTAAAGATTTCTTAGATGTAAGCAGTCAAGTTAAAGACTTTATGTGATAACAGGAATCAGTACAATTAGCGAAAGTTTATATGCAGAAATTAGCGGCTATTGTCTTATTAAAACGCTATTAAATTTTTTGCGTTATTAAAATAATATCATCACACAAGAATAAATTTGTGGCACAAAATTTTGGTGCTAAAATAATGAAATTATTATTTTTTTAATAAAGAAAAATATGTTAGCTAAAAATCCATTCCATTTTTGTTTGAAAAACAATGCATGGAAACATTTAGTTTTAACTTTATTTAAAGATGCCATTTTTGTGTAATATGAGCATGCTCAAATAAACCAGTGTTTTTCATTGAAATTACATAGTTTAAAGTCCTAAAATAGCCGTGCTTTTACCCAGTGGGCATTTCGACGTCGAACGAACGTCGAGCGACGTCGGATCTCGACGTCGGATCGACGTTGGGTTTACGTTGGAAATGGAAATGTTATTTGACGTCGGATAAACTGACATCGCGCGACGTCGGCATTCCGATGTAAATCCAACGTGTTTTTTGAAAACTAAAAAACATTGCCTTTAGCAGTAGTCGAACCTCGGTCTATAAGATACTAAATCCTACGCGCTTACCACTACACCACAGGAACATATTGTTCCATGTGTTTATTTAGTAGTTTATACTTGTAGCTATTTGGGAATTATTACTTTGATAAGAAATAATTTTGTTTAAATATTATATAAATATTAAAACGAATAGTTATATATTAAAAAAAATGTATACTCGAAATGGTTAATAGTTAAAAAACTATGCTAGTGCATCATACAAAACCTCATGATGTTTTATCAACCATTATTCAAACTTTTTTCCATTAATAAAAAAACACGCTTAGTTCACATAATTATTGAAGAGCGCAATTGCACACATATTGTTGGGTTTGGATTAAATTTTCATCAGCGATGTCTTACGACGTTGTTCCGACGTCGTTTTAAGGACGTTGGATTGACGTCGGAAGACGTCAAAAGATATCGGAATACGTTAATATTATGACGTTGCCCGACGTCTTTTTATCGACGTTGGATCGAAGTCAGTACTGCGACGTTTTTTGACGTCTTTTATAAGATGTCGAAACAACGTCAAAATACATCGAAACGACGTCAGGGGATGTTGAGATAAAGACATCGCCCGACGTCATTTTACTGACATCGGAACAACGTCGGAATAGGTCTTTTGACATCGCTGATGAAAATCGTACGTAAATCCGACGTCGGATTGACGTCGGGTGCCCACTGGGTAATTGCTTTTTGAACAAAAACAAAACATAAAAAAGTATTTATTTTTTTTGCGAAAAATAGTAGTATTGTTTCAACAAAAAATGGCTTAAAATTTGATCTTTTAACAATAAGTTTTGTTAATAACGAATCATTATATTCTAAAAATTAGTTCTAATTGTCAGGTTGGTATTTTTTTTACTTATTTAATGTTGTTTTTTTAAACTAATTTAAAGTGCTCAAATTATTAAGTCGTCTGGGTAATAAAGCACTTTTGCTACTTTTTTAAAACCTCTGTGTTTTCAAGAAAAACTTTCGTGAGCCTAAATACCTGGTTGGATCATGAAACCCTTTTTCTCACTGGATTACTTCTTCTGAGTTTTTTTTAATTTTTTGATATTTTTGATATGCATATATTTGGCATTTCAAAAAAATCCATAAAAATAGTTTATTCCCAAAAATTTTGGATCCAGCATAATTATTTTTAAAAATATTCCAATATTTGCTTAAGGTTACATTACCCTAAATTATCCTTCTCCTGATTCGTTTAGATATTTGAGAACCCAATATTTTTTCTTAAAATCACTGAGGTTTTCAAAAGTAGTAAATGTGCTTTTATTTTCTAAAGCACTTGGTAATATAAGCACTTTAAATCAAAAAATAACAAAAGTTAAGTAAAATTATTAACCTGACAATTAGATCCAGACTTGTAGAGTTTGTAACAAAACTTATGATTTAAGTATCAAATTTTAAACAACTTTTTTATTGCAACAAAACTTTTTAGTTTGTTATTTTTTTAATTTTATTAGTTCTAACCTTTTACAATAAAATTACAATTTTTTTTGAATTTAAATTACGAAAAAATATTTATTTTTAAAACATTAAAAGTGTTTATTAATTAATCTGGATCTAATTGTCAGGTTAATAATTTTAATAAGTCTTTAACTTATTAAAATTATTAACCTGACAATTAGATCCAGACTTGTAGAGTTTGTAACAAAACTTATGATTTAAGTATCAAATTTTAAACAACTTTTTTATTGCAACAAAACTTTTTAGTTTGTTATTTTTTTAATTTTATTAGTTCTAACCTTTTACAATAAAATTACAATTTTTTTTGAATTTAAATTACGAAAAAATATTTATTGTTAAAACATTAAAAGTGTTTATTATGTTTTGTTTTATTCAAAAAGCAATTAAAACTAAGGTCGTTCACTTTTGCAAACGTGAACGACCTTTTGTTTTGGTAAGTTTAAAACGATTTCTATTTACTTAATTTTGAACCGAAATTAACTCCACTTTTTAAAATTTTTAATCATCGAAATTCTAAAAATAATTTCGAAACTATTTTTCGCTTTCAAAATTTGAAAAATTGTATTGAAATATACTTATATTATCTAAAAGTTACCGAAACAATTTTTCACTCTCGAGTCTTTATAATTTGTATCGAAATATTTTTATATTACCTAAATTTTGAAAATGGAACCGAAACAATTTATCACTATCAAATCTCTATAAATTGTATCGAAATATTTTATACGATCGAAGTTTTAAAAATGGCACCGAGACAATATTTCACTTTCGAATCTCTATAATTTACATCGAAATATTTTTTATATTATTGAAATCATAAAAACGGTATCGAAACAATTTTTTTTTCGAAATTCTAAAAAATAGTTCAAAATATTTATTTTATTACAACAATTCTAAAAACTGCATCTAAATGAATATTTATAAATAACAAAAAATTAAAACTCTAAAAATTAGGAAAAAATAATTCTCAAAATCTCGTACTCCTTTTAAATAGGTTTTTAAAATAAATATGGCTAGATGTAATCAAGGCCAACGCAAAATGTTAGTGTTGGAGGAAAGGAGTACGGTGACAAACCCCAATTCAATGAATCAGTTGGAAAATTGTTGTTATTAACATAATAAAAGAGTTTTTAACATGTATTATAATTTAGGTATGTCGATACAACCTCTATAGAATAATTGTATTTCATTTGCTTGTGTCCGTGGGGAAATAACGAATGATCTTAGGCAATTTCGAACATCTAAAGTATCATTGACGTCAGGCAGCCAGAACTTTAACGTTTCTTACTTTTGTCACATTTAATTTTAACAGATAAACTGTTAGATATGTAATTTCATTTAATAGATTAAAAACCAGAGAATGTTTAAAAAAGAAACATTAAACATTTATTACTAGTTTGCCTATGAGAAATAATTTAGAGCAAAAAAAAAAGTAAAAAGAAAGAACTAAAAAGTACTGGTAAAAGTAAAAAGAGAAAGTATACCCAAAATATAATACGTGTTAAAAACTCCTTGATTATGGTACTATGAAGCAACAACAACAAAAGGACTGGTTTTATATCCATAGCAGCTACAACAGAAATGTTTTTAAAGAATAAAATTACATGAAGTTTTTAGAAAAAGTTAGAATCAATATATTGGGAACAACGAGTACAGCTTTACTACACTATTGCAAGTCTGGAACTGATTATGGAACCCCCTCTCAGCAGGCAAAAAGAAATTGTCAACTATCCTTTTCTATCATGCTGTTCTGATCTTGTTCGGAGCTACCCCGCGTTAACCATTAGCCCACTCTCTCCTACAGATTCTGTTAATAAAAAAGGTTTATAAAAACAATTTGATATCAAAAGTTCAGAATTTTGTCTATTTTATTTTTAAAAGTTTTCTTATTTGCAGAATTGATTGCATCTTGTGATAAGAAATTCCAATCGTCTACCATTCTATTTGTTAAATAATAAAACCTGCATAATTTTTTAGTAAACTCTCGATGAAGGCTTTTATTGTGACAACTCCTGGACATGAGGTTCCTGAATCCTGAGGTACTCCACTTGTAACTTTCTACCAACATGAAACAAATTCACCCAAAACAACTCTTTGTTTTATATTACTATATATATATATATATATATATATATATATATATATATATATATATTATATATATATATATATATATATATATATATATATATATATAAAAAGAGAGATAGAAATAAGAGAGTTATTTAAGGACAAGCGCAGTAGAATGTAAATACATCGACGATGTTATTTCGGTTTCGGCAGGAAATCTATTATTTAAAAAAAAATATTTTTCAACATTTTTTTTTATCTATTAGCACCTTTGTTTTGTTTTTTGAAAATGAAAATTTCAATATATTTAAGTAACTTTTAATACTATAGATTAAATTGTTTTCAAAATAAGTAAAATAATTTCAAAATAATAATTTATAACTTAAGTTAAAAATAGTTTTTTTTTATTATTAATTTTCATTTATTTTTAAGTTTTGTTTTTAACGTGCAAAAAGACTTTAATAAGATATAGTGTACTCTTATTAATAATAATAACATCAATTATAATACTTAAACTAATTTGATGTCTTTATTTGAGTCTTCAAGATTATTTTTTTTCGTGATGCCAACTCCAAAGATTATATTGTTTTAAATTTGTTACCCTAATATGCAAAATCTTTTTCTTAATCATCTTACATTTGTTTACGTTATTTACGTTATTTGGTTGTAGTGATTTTACAAATATTTGTAAAATGAGTATTTAAATGAACGGAATGTTAAATTTAAATGAGTTTCATAAAATAGGCTGGATCTCGGTTGTTTTTCTCTCCCAGGCACTATGCTTTCCATCCTTATGAACAGCCCCTTAGAATAGCGTTATATATTCGTTTTGAAAATTTTACTTTGCAATAGGAATATTTAACAACATTTTTGTAATTCTCTTTACAATTCTATCAAAAATTTTGGAGTAGAGTAAATACAACTTATAATATTGTAAAAAACCAGAAAAACTTTAGCTTTATAATTTATGATATCTTTGTAGTGTTCAGTTCAACAGAGTAAACATTTCAAATGTTGATGGACAAAAGCTCATTTGTTTGAAATTGCCAATAAAATCATCCCTCCAAGCAACAGTTGATAGAAATTTGTTTAAGAGAGCGGTATAACAACCCCAGTCTCCAACAAAATGCAAAAGACTGCATAGAAAGCATATCCCAAAGTTGATTGGAATTTGAATGTTGTTTGAGAATTTGTTTTCAATATCGCTATACAAATAAAACCAAAAAATTTTATAGAAATTGCATCTTGCTTTACTCACAACATTGCCTTTTAGCAAAATGATCTTTAGGTAAATGGTTAAATGTAAAATTATGACGAGGAAAATAGTTCCAAAGCATCAACGAGAGGTTTTGTAGAAAAAATTAAAATAGTGACTCAATTCATTTTATAAATACTTAACTTATCAAAGAATAAAAACAATAATAATTGAAAAGTATCAACAAAGTAAATCTTTTTTATTGATAAAATAAATGAAGAACTCAATCTCAAAAAAAAAAGTATTACCTTGGAAATAAGAGTAACATTCAAAAACATAAAAATGCTCTATAATAAAATAATCCTTATAAATGTGTTTATTAAAATTGGTGTATTAATTTGTAACTTGTCAATATTTTTTGAAAATTTTTATTTTAATTTCTTAATACTTTTGTTATCTTTTTGGCTATTCTGGTACCTCAAGTTTTTTGATAATATTAGAAGACCTTACTTCAATTATGAACTTCGTGTATTAACATGTTTTTGTTTTTTTAAACATCTTCGCTTCCAACCAAGCTGCAAGCAACTACTAATTAGATTTGGAAGTTAATAGAAGAGAAAAGACGAAGATTGTAGAGCAAGATAACAATTGACAGACGACATAAAAGATTGCAAATTATATGAATCTGGAAAGCAAGATAAAGGAAGCGAATTCCAAATAACTGATGTTCGAGGAAAAAAACTAGACGAATAAGAGTTTTTCGAGCACTAAGGAACAGTAACAGAAAAAGGATGAGACTTAATTAAATGACGAGTAACACAATAATGAATTTTAGTAGATGGCACAAGAGACGCTAGCTCTTTAGAGCAGTGCCTATTATAGTATTTGTAGAAAAGAGAAAGAGGATCAACATTACGACTATGTGATAATGGTTGAAGGTTGGTTGCAAGAGCAGGTCCAACTATGTTTACAATGCATTTTTGTACCTTGTCTAAAAGAGAATGGGCATCATTAGAAGATCCGTCCTAGATGTAGCAACAGTATTTCATACAAGGCCGGATTTGAGATATATAGAGATAGAGAATAAAATCCAAAGTGTCGAGCTCGATAAGAAGATGCAACTTTAGTAGATGCTATTTTTGATATATGGTTTCCAAGAAAGATAGGAAGTAAGAGTTAATCTTAGAAGATGAAGGGTAAATGACTCATCGATTACTTATGTAATATTGGTGTATTAATATGTAATATTCGTGTATTAATATGTAAATTGTCAATATTTTTTGAAATTTTTTTTTAATGTCATAATACTTTTGTTATCTTTTTGACTTTTCTGGTACCTCAAATTTTCTGATAATATCAGAAGACCTTACTTCAAATATGAACTTCTGTGACTCATTTGGTCATTTGTTATAAAATATTATTGATATTGTAAAATGCTATATGTAATAAGTAAGGAAGAAAGTTAAATTTATTTTGTATTAGTTGTATTTTGTATTAGTAGTTGTATTCTAAAAATGTTTGTATTTGGTTGTATTATTTTGGATTTGTTTCAGTAAAAAAAAATTTGTATCAGTAGTTGTATTATAAAAATAATTTTTAATTTTTTGAAACTTAAATAATTTAAATTCAAAAATTGCATTATCCCCATAAAGTTTAAAAATAAAATTAAATGATTTTGTGGCAATATTTGTAAAACGTTGTCTCTTGCTAGGATATTACGTTTATTCAGGCCAGTTTCATCAGTCTTCTTTTCTTCTCTTTTACTAAAATTCAAAAAATAAACAGGTTTATTTAGCTGAAATTAATTTTTTATATAATAAACTTAATAAATGCAAAAAAATTTTTCTCTAATTCATATATTGACCAAATGGCCACACTCTTCCATAAATGATACAAGTCAGCTCAAACTGAGGGGCAGTTTTTTTCAAACCATCCTTATTTGACATAAGTTTAAAAATTTATTTATTTAGAGCTTGCTTCGTGTCCGGAGGGTAGCTATCTCAAAGACCATAAAGTACTGGATTCGCCTCTGATCTATACAGATTTTGACACTATCGTTCTATTGCTGACTTTTTAATCATTTTAGCAAAAAAAGATTCTGTCGTACATTAGATGAAATCTAACTCGTATTAATCATTTTCTTCTACTAAATTTGTTTTCTATCTCTATAAATGTTATATTCATCCTGATATTGAAAACTGTTGCCATATTTTTTAAATAATTTTCTGTTAACTCCAAACGTAATATTAGTGTTTGCTTGCAGCTTTGTAAAGGTTTATTTTTTTTTTTTTATAAAAATTTTAACAAGAAAATTGATTAGTAAAAACCTTGTGTTTGACATATATGCCTTGTTGAAAACCGCATGCCATATGAATGGTAATCAGCTGTTACGTCGTAGTTAGAAGCTTGGACTAAATAGAAGGTAGCGCGTGCATGTTCATTTTAATCCAGTATTTTTTAATAAATTAGCAAATTTTAATAAAAATACAAAAAATAAATTTATTATATTTGTAACACTTTTTAATTTATTTTTGTAAGTTAATAATCTAAAGTATTAAACTGAGAAATATTATTTAAAAATATAAAGTTAATTTGCTTTATTTTTAAAGGTTTTCTCTTCTCAAATACTTTGCCGCTGTTGGTTGCAAACTTTTTTTTCGCCTTCAAATCAACGTCTTTTAAGTTTTTCATGTTTAACTTTCTCGATCTTTTGCGATTCGATATATATATATATATATATATATATATATATATTTTATATATATATATATATATATATATATATATATATATATATATATATATATATATATATATATATATATATATATATATATATATATATATATATATATATATAAACATTGTCTTTATTATAAAAAAAGAAAAAAAAATCACATGTAATCAACTGTTTCTTTCAAAAATCCTTTTTTATTCAATCTGTGTATAAACTTTTTTTCATGCGATTCTGTGCGTAATAAAAGATCATGTAATATTAAGAATGTGCGCGCATTAAATTTTCGGAATTGTGATAACATCTATTCTGCAGCTGTTTTTCAAAAAGCTAAGGTAAAAAAAAACGATTTTAACTTTTTTACAAAATAAAGTAGTTTAGATGTCTACAAACTTTATTGAATACATTTTTTCAAAGAGTTCTGAAAAAATTCATAAAAATATTAGTTTCAAACAACGTTTTACAAAGAGTTTCTCCTAATAATATTTTTTTAATTGCATTTTTCTCGAAAAACGTAATAAGAATCTTAAGGCCGTTTGAAAAACGGCCGTAGTATTGTTAGTTAAAAAAAAATTAGGATCTTTTTTTTTTTTTTTTTTTTTCCTGTTCTTCAAGAAACGAATATCAATTAATAAAGTTAAAAGTTTCATTTGAATTTAAAAAAAATAAATTGAAAAAAAAAACGAAAAATTGTATTTATAAAACATTAAAAAAGTTCTTTAAAGTGAATCTAACAACATTTAAATTTACTTACTCAATAGAATGTACAACAATAATGAAGTTTACTTTGTGATTAGTGTAAAGTTTTGTAATCTGAAAAAATGACGTATTTATAATATTTTACATTAATAACACATAAAACAACTTATAAATAAATTTATCTCTTACCTCATCTTGAATTTTATTTATAAGTAATAAAGATCTTGTACTTGTTAATTGAGAATACCAATCATTATACATTTCATCAATGAAATTCACTCTCAAATTCAATTTTGTACCTTAAATAAGAACAATATTTTTAATCTTTAAACATAACATAACATAATTAAAATTTGATTAACAATAAAAAACCAAGACCATATACGTTTCTATGGCATTGCTTTTTCATATGATTAAAAAACTCTTGTGAGGTCACTCTAGTAAATCAACGTTGAAATTGACAACTTGTAACTAAATATCTTATTTTGCAAATATTTAAGATCTAGTTTTCATACTTTTAGTGCAGTTTATTATGCAGTAAAAGAACCAACGAAAACTTTGATTTGTTTCTTTTACAAAAGTCATATTATCTCAACTAGAGACTCAAGTAACTTTTTTGATCATTGTTTTAACTTAATTCGTTGCCACATTGCATTTATATTCAATTGCATAATTAATAATTTTTATAATATAAAATATTTATTAAGTTGACATTTTTATAAACGCATTTTTTAAAGTTTTTAAAAATGCTTCAACACTGGTTGTAGTAATAATTATTTAGCACTAACCGATAATCCGTATGAAAAAATAAGTGTTTTTAAATTTCCAATATATCAAAAAATAGACTTATGGATTCATCAAATTTTTTGATAAAGTTTATCTCCTTCAAATAAAACTTGCATGACTAAAAAGCTATCATTCCTTATTCATTATCCGTGTTAAAAATAGTGGTTTATGTAATATGTGTTGAGAGATATAGACAAAGATAAATACCAAGTGCTCACCCCATCATTATTTTAAATATTCCTATTTATTTGTTATATAAACTTCAAAAGAAAAATTCAGATTGTCGTTGTGCACTGTGTAATAACAGGGTTGAGGAGAAGTTTGTAAAATGACCACAAAAGGACAAAATTTACAACTTTGATAAGTTTTCTATTAAAATTAATAGCATATATGAGTATTAATATAAAAATTAAACAATCAATAATAATATTTAAAATATATAATATAAATAATTAAAAAATTAACAAACTAATAGAATATAATAGTTATATGAGTAATAAAGCTTAAAATTTGTATAAACCAAACTATTAATCTTCGCATGATTAATGACATAAATATACCAACAATATAACTTAAAAATCTCACAATAATTGTAATTTAAATAATTGTATAATTTGAAAAACATATATATGTAAGTTAGAGGCAGAGATTAATATTATAATAATTTTCATAAAAGTTTAGTTTCTTTATGTGAGCATGTAACTAACTACACAAATCTATTTTTTATTTTCAATATGGCTTGATTAAATATATTGTTTTGACTTTTAGTTTTTATCTAAAATGTATGTCACTATCTCTGACATCTATTTATACATGTCACAAATCTTTTTTAAACAAAACAAACATCAATGGATTACGGTATTGGTGTAGTGGTAAAACGCTCGCTTCGTAAGCGAGAGGTTCCGAGTTCGATCCCCACCACGTTCCTGGTAGTACCGCGCTCAACTTGTTTCTCCGCGCAGCGGCCTTGTTTGTCAAGGTTCGTGTTTCGGAGTTATAGAGTTGAGAGAGGGTTATAACCACTATTAAGTAGCCTCCTCGTCTGTAGTGGCCTTCTCGGCCTTGAAGAAGTGAATAAAAATAAAAAAAAATAAAAAATTTATTGAATAAAAAATCTATGCAGTATATAATATACAGCGTTATTTAAAAAATAGTGCAGATTCAAAAAAAACCGTGAAGTTATGGGAGTTAAGGCCAGGTGAATAAAATGAGCAATTGCTTTTACTCAATAATTGGACAGCCTTGCATGTATAAAAAATTTAGTAATTTTGCTTATATTTTTATTCACGTAAAGCTGATTAATTACTGAGTAAATTGTTTAACTTTACGTGAATGAAAACTTGAGCAAAAATGCTGAAGCTTTTATTCACGTAAAGCTGACCAATTACTGAGTAAAAGCAATTGCTTATTTTTATTCACCCGGCCTATAAGTTATAAAAGTCTAACATAAAAACACTGTGATAGTTTTACTTTTGCAATAATGTTTTGTACAATTGACAAATTCCTTAATGTTTCCATTGCAACCCTGACCACCAAATTTCGGTATAGGGTTTGAGCAGTTGCGAAATCTTGAATAAAAACCTCCACCACATGGTTGGCTACATAACGACCAAGATGACCACATAGACCAATTACCATTTACTATAAAAATATGTAACTTTTCCTGCAAAAAAAATATTGAAACAAAACTGACAAAACTAAAAGACAGTAAAAAAAGAAAAAAACTAACATGGACAAACAATATCGTTATCGCAAACTTCAGTATAGTTGCTAACACCTATACAATCTCGACCATTAAAAGATGGAGATGGCTTATCACAGCTTCTACTAACAAACTTAATTCCTTTACCACATGTATTTGAACATTCCGATTTTTTCCAAGTCCCCCACATTCCATCCTCTAAAATTAAAAAAATTTCAATTATGACTTTATTATTCACAATTCTATATTTTGAAACATATAATAAAAAAATTTAATTATATGTATACTATATTAGTAAAAATATTAAAATCAAAAAACAAATAGAAAAATAAATAATACTTAGATAATCAAAATACATAAATTAAGCGCAAATATAAAAAAATGGAATGATAGAACGAGTAAAAGAATATATAGACTAAAAACGAAAATTTGTCTGCAAAAAAGCCTAACAGAACATGTTTAGACATTGACAAAAAATTTTGCAATCTTGCAAAACTCATCATTCAGCTTCACCAAGTCGCATCCATTTTATTAAGTAAGTAGCAAGTTTAAAACAACTCTAAAAAATTAAAAAATGATGGGAACATGGTCTAATATAATTGCACAGCTAATACAGTATTAAACGGGGAACTTTAGGACTTTTTAGATTTTTTTTTATAAAATGAATCTTTGAAAACATCTCAGAATATTTTACGTCCTAATATATATATATATATATATATATATATATATATATATATATATATATATATATATATATATATATATATATATATATATATATATATATATATATATATATATATATATAAATTATTCACCTCACTAAGGCCGAGAAGGCCACTACAGTCGAGGAGGCTACTTTTGTGGTTACAACCCTCTCTCAACTCTACAACTCTGAAACACGAGTCTTGACGAACAAGGCCACTGCACGGAGAAACAAGTTAACATTTATATCTATATATCTTATACTGCTGAGTTAGGTGAGCATGATGATGTCATACTCACCTAACGTCAAATAGCCTGCTGCCGGGGGCTTCAGTACACACATCGACTGACAAATAGCCTGACTCGCAGTGGAGTGCTGGTACATCGACTGAGGGTTTGGTATGGGTCAGCAACCTTTTCATTCATTATTCTTCGTTTTCCCTCATCGTTTTCTAAAAACGCTTACTTAATTTAGGCTAGCAAAAAAAGTGAGCAATTGCGCATATAAATATGCTATAGTAGATATAAATATATATATATATATATATATATATATATATATATATATATATATATATATATATATATATATATATATATATATATATATATATTTAAATGTATATAAAATATTAATACCTGAACTGTAATTTAATGCAAAACTAGTTATAAAATGTAAATTTTGTTACTAAAAGTACCCATATCTTGGATGTACAGAAAATAGTTATAACTTATTCAAACAATATTTTACCAATCAAAAGACTTGTAAAAAATGAGCTATTAAAACAAAACATTTTGGAAAAAATGTTTAAATTTGGAAAAATAACAGTAGAAATTGGGTTTTAAAGCTAAACTGAAAATTAAAAAATTACCGCCATCAGTATACCCAACTACATTAAGAAGTCAAAACTCTGTTGACCAGAACTTTAATTAATTTTTAAAAAGTGTTACAATTGTTTAATTATTTAAACAATATTCACTTAAAACAATATGAGCTCAAAATATAAAATAGAAAATATTTTTTGCATTAGAAAGTAATAAGGACATATGCAAAATAAAAGTTGTCTCCTTGGACCAGATGTGTAACAAAAACAAATAAAAAAATGCTGTCAATCTAGTGGTTACTTAATGTTATATTCTAAGCAAATGTACCAAAAAAATAGGTTATAATATATACCATTAAATTTGTTTCAAAAAGCTGTTTGATAAAACCATTTAATTACAAAATTTTTAACCGAAAATAAATAGTAAATAAATAGAACAAAAAGTAAATAGAACAAAATTATTTTTCTAGGCCAGTTGGTCAAATTGTAGTGAAAATCTAAAATATTTAAATTGTGTAAGGATTTAATTGACTGTTAATAGCCTTGCCAACGACATTGTAATTAATGTTTATATAATTTTAGTCTTTCATGATTTTTATAATTTATTGTTAAAAAATCTGAAACTTTTTTTTTAATGATCAAATTCAATGAAACAGTACAAAATTGATTAGTAAAAATCTTCTTCAAAAAAGTCTCTTTTAAATTGGTCTCTTGTTCTCCAATTCACATCAGTAAATTTATATCAACGCTTATGAGACCAGTCCTTTTACTTTCTGGTGGCAGGGCCAGTGACACGGGTTTCGAAGCGGCATAATCGTCAATTTTTTAAAACAAGTCCTCTATATCTAGAATTTAAATAATAATAATAAAAAAAAGGTCCTTTAGAAAAAAAATAGGGGAGTACATGCCCCCTGCCCCTGGCCTCCTCCATTGTCGGCTTTGGGTAGCTTTTGAAAAAAATAAATAAAGATGTAGAAAAACCGTTAAAATTTATAAGACATTTGTAGATTTAGAAGTTATAAGACAAATTTATAAGACATTGTAGATGTAGAAGTTACTTATGTCCATGCTTGAAAATACTTTTTTTGCTTAATACAAAAACTTTATAAATATTCAATTTATAAAAACTTTTATAAATTAATCAAAAACAAATCTTGCAAACACCTGGAAGCAGTTTTTTTCAGTGTCTTTGCGTAATATTGACAATATAGTATCTGATTTTTCATCAGAACATTTTTCTGAAATAAAATTATCAGGCAATAGAAGTTTTCTTAATTGTTTGCCTGAGGTGTTGGCAAGAAATTACGTCAAATGATAGAGGAGGGTTCACAATTTTGTGATGATTTGTTACAGGCGGAGGGGTATCCAGTTTTGTGACACAATATTTTTCAAGTTTCAAATCTAGAAAATCTTTTCTATTGATTAAAATAGTGCTTAGTCTAAAAAACTTGACTGCGCCTATTCCAATTTAACATAAATTGAAATTGACATAATCTTTTATTGAAATTGACATTTTTTAAATTGACTAGAAATTTTAGTCAATTAATGTATATGTCTACAGCTTTATGAGTCAATGATATAGCAGATATATCATTAATGAAAAAATAAATAATAATAATATAATTATTATTATAAAAAAATATTATAATAATTAACAAAAAATAAAAATACTTTGTAATAATTATTAAACAACATTAACATAAAATATTATGTCTATATAACCTGTTCCGCAGCACTAATATTTTGCTAAAGAAGTCATTTAAATAATACATTTATCAAAAATTAAATATATCTTTGGAGATTATTTGTCTGTTTAGTCACTGCTAATTTATAAAACTTTATAGAACTATAGGAGTGAAAAAAAGAATCTATGTACATTCCACTTCTTCCATACGTTTTTAAGTCAGTCGATGTATTTAACTACATTGCGACTCAGGCTATATCAGTCAATTTATGTACACAGTATTATTATTTTTGTTATTATTATTGTGTGAAACTTAAAAAAAATGTAAATAATAAAAGTAGTTATAATTAAGCAACAACAAGTTATAACTACTCTCAACAATCCTAAGGAAGGCGAAGTTTATGTTATACAAGTGAATCATGGAAAAGGTTAGGCAACAATATTTCAGTACACTTTCATAGTATTTCTATTTTGTAAATATATTTGTATACTAAAATAATATAATGTAATATATAGCATAGTTATTGGGTTAAACTAGTAAAAATCAATTACTATGCCTTAAGTAAAATTTTTACTTTAAACACATTAAAAGTATTTATACCTGTAATCTATGGTGTATACACAGTAGATTACAGTCTACACTGTAGATTACATCTACACTGTAGATTACATCTACACTGTAGATTACATCTACACTGTATATTACATCTACACTGTAGATTACAGTCTACACTGTAGATTACAGTCTACATGTAGATTGTAGCCTACACGTAGCCTACCAGAATATATGTTTAAAGTAAAATCTAACATTAATTAGGCATAGTTTACTATAGCTTTTAGTAAATTATGCCTAATTAATGTAGCCTATATACTGTAGCATAGCCTTTAGTAAAGGCTATGGTAAAGGTACATTATAACAAGATATCTTATTAATAAATATGAAAGGGCATCTAAATGTCACTTAATATTATATTGAATATTTTCAAGATGTCATTTAGTATGCAATATTTTTTTGAAACTAAAAATTGTCTTTTCCTATTATAATTTATTTGAAGATTTATTTATTATTGTAAAATGGTTCTATAGCAAACTTACATGCTTATGTCTTTTTTATATTATGCCAATATTGGCATACTATAAATAAGATATTGCAATATAAGGCATGATATATAATAAAAATCTGAAGATTTTTAAATGACCTTTTTTATACATGCTATTTAAAAGTATCTGTGTTATGATTTTAAAATACGAGAGCAAATATGCTTTCATTGTACTTGCTTAAAAACAATTATAAATTATAATAATATAGTAACTGCTATATTGTTAAAAATATTATTATAATTTAGTAGTAGTAGATAAAAGGTATCTATGTGTTAACAGCGAGTGAATTAGAAAATCACTTTGACAACTCACTTTTGATAATGTAGGTATATACTAAAAAAAAAGAATAAAAAATTTAAACAAAAACTACTTAATAAGACTTAAGACCAAAGAAATTTTTGTTTAAATTTTTTATCTTTTTTATTAGTATTAAAATTTTTTATTAGTATTAAAATTTTTTATTAGTATTAAAATTTTTTATTAGTATTAAAACTAATTAAGTCAATTTTTGTAATGCTAAATATTTGTCTAATTTGTTCGTGAAACTGTTTACATTTGTTAACTTGTGGCAATGTCAGGGTGTTAGCCAGGAATATGTTTTACAATATCTATAATCTCGGTTTGGAGCCCTTTAATTTTGGTAACCCACACATCTTGCATTAAAATGGGTGAAACATATTTCCACCCATTAAGTTATAATTTTTGTAAACTTTTTTATAAAATAAAACTTATGATTTTGCAATGAAAATAAGATTATTATATTTTTTTCTTTTTTTGAAAGAGAATCATCTCTCAAAAATCTAGATCTTCTTATATTTATAATACGGTAATGTGCTCAATGAGTCCCATCGTCTACCCTCGAGTCCCGTCGTACCCTTCGT